CGGGCTCCCAACTGAGCCTGATGACTGGGAGCTCATCCCAGTATCCTGAGATCATCACCTGAGCCAAAGGCAGATGCTTAACCAACTGAGCCACCCAGGAGCCCTTATTGTTTTCTATTTTGTAGCTTTTAGCTTCTACCAATTTCTCCTTTCTAGTTTTTTAGGTGCTGTTTACTACCTTAAGATGAATAATAATTTTTTTCCATTGAAGACATTTAAAGCTATGAATTTTTCTCTGAGTACAGCTTTTGCTGTATGTTACAGGTTCAGATACAATGTGTGCTTTTTGTTGCTTTCTGGACCATTTGTATTTTCTTTAACTTTCCTCTTTGATCCAAGGATGTACAGAATTGGATGTCTCAATCATAACTGCACGGAAATTGAGAGACCCAATTTAATTATCTCTAATTGTATTGGATTATGATCATGGGATGTGGACCACAAAGTTGCTATTTGTTTAAATTAATATTAATTTTAGCTAAATTTAAGCATTGATAATTACATGATTAATATTTATCAGTTAATAGGTAATTAATATGTTGCCATACAATGGGTTTTTGTATATACCCCACGGATAAATGACCAAAAAATGTACATTCTCTGTTTAAAGATTCTATAGTTTGATGATCATTTACTAATTGCATTATACAAGTCCTCTGTGTCTTTATTTTTGTCTATTATACACGTCTAGTTCCAAGAGAGGTGCGTTAAAGTCTCTATAGTTGTATTTTAATTTGCATCTAGTTCTCTTTGCAATTCTAATAGCTTCTGATTTAACTGTTTGGTTCTCCTGGTAATTGAGGCTTAGGGTTTATCACCTCTATATCCTCTCGTGTTTTTTGTCATTGCAGAATATCCCGTTGAGTGCTTTAATGTTAAATTCCACCCTGTCTGACCAACTGACATTTCAATTCTTGCCCTTTTTTTGTTTGTGTTTGCTCATTTTCTCTTTGCCACACCTTTATTTTCAGCCATCTTTGTCATTTAACCATTTCTAGAATAGCAGGTAATTGGGTTTTGTTTTTTCTAAACATACCTGTTTTGCAGTGGTAGAGAATTCAATCCACTCGTATTTAGTGATGGCTTACCTTGTTAGCATTCCTTCCCTCCTACTTATTATGCTTATGTTTATCTTAACACTGTTGTTTCCTCTTTTCCTTTTCCTAGTTTTTGCTGATTTGTTTCTACTTAATATTTTTAGGGTTTCTCCCTGAAAGTTTGGTGTTCTCTAGATTGATATTTTTCTGCTTCTTTTTGGGTATATTCAGGCATTTAGGTTCGAGTGCTCTCCCCCACCCCCAACCAGGCACACTCAACACTGATGCTGACGCATGTCACCAGCTCAAACCCAGCAGGATGTTCTGGAGATGACAGGTCAGTTCTGTCATTGAGCACTTGTAGGACGGCAGGCAAATTACCCATCCCCCCTGAACATGAAAATGTAGCAGTCACACAACACGTGTAGGACTAACCAGGTCATGTGTGTGCCTCATCGAGCATACCGCTGATGCCCCCACTCCCTGCTCCCTCCTTGGGCTTCTGGGACGGAGCTGCACAATCAGGATGAGGATGAACTTTTTCATGCCTCTGGCCCGCTCCTCTCAGAATTCCTAAGAGGAATTTCTCAGCCGAGCTCTCATTGGTCTGTCATTTCTGTGGGATGGCGGAGGTTATACTCTTCTGTCCTCAAACCAGATGAACAAGACATTGGAGAGTGCTGATGTTTTGCCTGTGGACCTAAGAGATGGGCCTAGAACCAAATTCTCCTGTCTCCAGCCTTGGATTGAAAGGGACACCTTCTGGGCTTCTCTTCTTGGACCTTTGTGTAGTAGAAACGTCAAGATAAAGCTGGACTAAGCAGGAGACAGGACACTGGAGGAGGGGCCCAAGGTGGCCATGCCCTGGGGACTAGGGCTCCACCTAACACTCTGAGGAAGCAGTTACGGGAAGCTTCATCCCTTATAAACCCGTAGGCCTGGCTCTTCATCTCCAGAGCTCAAAACCCATGGAATCCCTCTGGTTCAGACCATGTCTTGACTGCTACCACCAAGTCTTGGAGCTTGCCCCCAATGAACTGTGTCTCAATTCTTTTCTTTTCTCTCAACGATTTGTCAGATAGAAGGCAGAAGTGTCACAGATGATCTACTTCTTTCTACACCTTTAATTTTGGGATCCTACAAAATTTCTCTTCATTAAGCAGGACTTTGAACTTGAGGGCCAAGGCTGGGCTTCCTAATACCCTTTCAGACTCCTACTCAAGGGTCATGGAATTGGTTCTGTGTCTTCTCCTGCAGGCTGTTGATAACAAAGGCCAGCAACCTGGAGAGCCACTTAGCTCCTTCGACACACATCTACCATCTGGGTCCCATGATCTCATGGGACCTTTGGTGTTTGCTCCCTGCCCACCCAAGGGTTCTGAGGTGTTCTGCAGCCTGTTCTTCCATGGCAATGCTCTCTTGTCACTTCATAAAAATGTTCTACCAGCTACCTGGGGACAGCG